TTAGATCCAGGGGACCTGATGGGTCCAACAACTCCATCTGGAGCTGAACTATTCGAGTGTCTTTCGACGCTCGGTTCTCTAGCGGCATGGAGAATCAGAACATTCAGACGGATATGGGAATTCATGCAGTTGGCCTAACGTCAGCGGCCAGTCACCATGAAAACCAAGCACGCCCAAATCGAACTCGTCAGCATCGCGCCTGGCAGTGGGTGGATTGCTGCGGAACGCTGTCGCACGACGAAGGCTTCGACTGCCACGCTTCCGACGCGCACCTCGGTAGAGACGGGCTCGAGACCGCCACCAGCCAACCACTGGGCTGCTTCCGTCGCGAGAGCTGCGTCGTGCCTCGTCCTGGCCGGTAGCCCAAGTGAGCCCTGCCAGTGCTCCAGTCGCCCGTGGGGCAGTCTCCTCTCCCTGCCTGACGTTAACGCGGGCCTGTCCCCCTACAGGGGGACTTTGGACGAAACATAAAAATGCACCAAACATACTTCAAAGTGGTCAAAACATATTCAAAAAATAATCCCCAGACTATTTATGGACTGTTCTCGAATGTCCCCCCTGTAGAGGGACAGGCCCGACTTGAGCCTAACGGTATCAGAGCGCGACCGAGCAAACGGAATGCAGCGTTCCCTTCACTTTTCAGGCCGTCCTCGGTCGCCGCATGTCGCATCTGTGGTGCATCCCGCCTCAAGTCGAGGCTGTGCCCGGGAAAGCTCAAACTCAGGCCACCACTGCGATCCGATGTGGAGTTTGGCTTCATCGCCCCGAGGGCGACAGACATTTGGGCATGCAGTAGTTCTTCCTCTTGCGCGCGGATGGCCATGCGCGGGAGGTGTGGTGGTGCACCATGCGCAAGCAGCTCCCAACACAACTTAGCAAATGATCCGACGGAACCGTTTTTCCGCGAGCCCAGCCGATCACCAGCGTTCACGCTCCGATGGTGAAGCGTCCAGAATGGCCTGCTGTTCACCGCCAAGAAGAGCACGTAAACGGCGCTCGATTGCGAGGGATCGCGTGGTTTGCGGGGAAGGATCGCTCGGGTGCCCACCACGGCGCATCGCTTCTCAGACGAGCACACGTTGCATCCAATGCTTTGGAACGTTCTTGATGCTGGCAGGGCTACCGGCAATCTGTGCTGCGCGGCGACGGAGAGGGAGGGAACGGGAAGCAAGCCGACGAGTGCAAACGCGCAGGCGGGAGGCCAGGGCCGGCGGGACGAAGCAGGCGGGCGGGCAGGCGGGCAGGGGCAGAGGGAGACAGCAGGCAGGGAGCGAGGGAGGAGAAGGCGAGGGTTAGAGGAGCGACGGGAGACGAAGCGGGAGAGGGGAGCACCCGCAAGCAGACGGGCCAGAACAGAGGCCGGGAAAGAAGGGCCACCCGCGACGAGGCTGCGGACACTAAGGGCGGCCACGCTCGTGCCGGAGTGGGTGGCTGGCAGGGCGTCTCGTGCACTCTGAACGCTACCCCAATCACAATGACTGTCGAGCTCGCCCTGGGTGACAACATCACTGGAACATGTTCCCGTGACCGATACTTTCGCTACGATACTCTCGCCGTCAACAACGTCAGGACGACCGTCAACGCACGGCTCCAACCTCGTTGTCACCGGCGCTGTCTGCACAACCGTCGTACGTGCTGCCACTCCTGTACCCGCTAATACTGGCAACGAGTGCAATGGACATGCAAACTAAACCAACGCCGTCGGCAGCGCGACTGCCAGGGAAGTGCGAACACCTCATGTCAATATGGCACGGGCGACTCAAGTTTGATTGCTTGCTGGGTGGCACGCTGTGAAGCACCGTGGGCCAAAATGACTACGCAGCAAGCTCATGCCATCTCTGGGCCATGTGCCGATTTCTGGGTGAAACTGGATGTGATAGCACAGGCTGGCCAACCATTGAGGAACATCCAGCCTTCTGTCGTCTGATTCCTCTCGCTGAAACAGGAGGAGGTGAAGAAAGGGGGAACGAAGAGGGCGAATGTTTGACATCCACCGCAGCAAAGCAGCCACGCATACCTTGTGTCTGGCGCGGCTGCCACCGTCCTCGTTTGCGATAGTAAGGACGGCGAGGTCCCAGAGGCGAGGAGATGGAGGAGGAGGAGGAGGATGAGGAGGAAGAGGAGGAGGAGGAGGAAGAGGAGGAGGAGGAAGAGGAGGAGGAGGAGGAGGAGAAGTTCGGCAGGGTCACAGTGGGGGTCAGGCGAGGTCCTCGCCCGCCCGCTGGGCCAGAGGCTGGACGGCCGACCAGGCCAGCAGGAACAAATGTTGAAGGGGCCCAGGGACACACAGATAAATACACACAAATCCCAGGATTCCCCATATTTTTCCATATTTTCTGGGTTTTCGTCTTCCCCCCCACTTCCCATAGTTTCCCATATTTTCCGGGGAATCGGCGATTCATTGTGTCTGTGTGTTTCTTTCTCTCCTGAAATGTTGCGAAAACCACCCCAGTGGAGTAGGACAGGCAGGGGGCCGCCGAGCAGCCGGCTGGTGGGACCCCAGTGGCTAGCCGCCTCCCCCCTCGACGCTAGCAGAAAGAAGAAGGGCCAGGGCAGAGGTTGGCCAGAGGTGCCCTCAGCCTCCAGCCCGCTTGCGGCGGCCCTCGACCCAGCCGCTTCGAGGAGGCGCAGGGGCCTGCGCACTGCGCGCAACTCTTTTTCATCCTCGCGCAAAGGCCTCGGCGGCCCTGCAAGGCAGGAGAGCCCAGAATCGAATCGATAAGTCGAATCGGCGATTGAAATGAATCGGATCGGCAGAAATCGGCAGCGGAGTCGGGAAAAGTCGAATCGGTAGACATCGGCAGGCTAGTAGGACTCCCTTGATAAATCGGATCAAACATCGAAATCCGATGTCGAATCGAATCGGAATCGGAATCCATCGAAATCGAATCGAATCGAATCGGAGGAATCGAAATGAGCCCTGGCAAGGGCACACCGGGCGGGAGCGGGGGAGTCGATGCCGATCCACGGCTCAACTTCCACGGCCACGCCTCTCATCTCAGGATGCCTGCCGACACAGACGGCCTTCCAGGCACTGTGCGCTACTGCATTGTGCGGGGCACCACCACGGAGCTTCAATCTATGACGAGGGTGCCCATGTCCCGAGTACGCCTTCCATCCCAAGCAAACGACCAACGCAGCCCCGTCTGAGCACAGCAGGGCGATGCGATTGTGCCTGAGGGCGTCATGCTTCTCAGGGGCAAGCTTGGGGTCCCTGTTGCATTGACCAGGAAGGTCGACCCGTGTCACCCAAGAGCGACCCATCAACATCCCTACGGGGCACACCATTAGTTACTCTCTCAGGCTCTCACCTTAGTTACTCTCTCTCTCGCAGTGCATTGAATCTCGATGCACTGCCAGAAAGATGTCACTTGGGTCTACTCGTGGCAAGGTCCAACAGGGGCCTTCGGGCGAGGAGCAGCTTTCACAAGGGGAACGTCCTTTAGACTCAGGCGGGGCCACTCTGGCATGAGCTCACCAGCGAGGCGCATGTCACATGTAGAAATGCCAGTGCACCGCTCGAGCCAGGTAACATCACCAGGGTCAGGCTGGGGATGCCTGGCCAACATGTATCTGGAAACGTGGTCGGCTAAATCGTTGCCGAGTTTGAGAAAACGTGGTGGCTGAGTCAGAGCATATGACTCTTCAGCGTGCGCTTTAACCTTTAACCTTTTTCGTCGGCGGCGAGCGAAGGCAATCCGCACCAGCGTGGGGTCAATCGGGGCTAGCCTTCACCACGCCGTGAACAAATGTCCTGTGGGTGGGCAAAAAGAACCCATAGCACACGCGCTTGTGAGAGAAAACCCGCATCATCGGCTCATTCGCCTGGACAACTACACTCTTACAGTCAGAACTACTGGAGCTGCCTTTCAAGGCTTGCATGGCGGCAACGGCGTAAGCCCGGAATTCACCCCCTCAAGCGGTTTGCAGGTTGGGAGCCCGAAGGGGGGAGCTGATGCGGCAGATTTCGTCACCATCATCGCTCACAACAACAGCCCCACACCCAACCCTGGAGAGTTCTTTGGCCGTGTGAGAAATAGATGGCCCACCAACATAAGTGTCCACAGACATGTCGAGCCACCGGCAGTGATGATCATGAGCCCACAGTACCTGCAGCCCGTTGCCATCGCCATTATCACGAGCAGGGGGTGGGAAGACATCGAGGAAGGAAGAAGAAACCTTTGGATGTCTCAGGAGGCACGCTGTTACCTGTGTGTCTTGGGGCCCTCCAGAGACGTGTGTTATCTTTTGACCGTCAACCCTTACGGGTTGCCATACCAGCCAACGTCATCGATACCTGTAGCATCAACCTCAACATCATTAACATCATCATCATCATCACCATCACCATCATCATCATCATCATCATCATCATCATCATCATCATCATCACCGTCATCACCCACCATCACCATCATCACCATCCTCATCCTCATCCTCATCCTCATCCTCATCCTCATCCTCATCCTCATCCTCATCCTCATCCTCATCCTCCTCATCATCCTCCTCGTTATCATCGTCATCGTCATCGACATCGTCATCGTCATCGTCATATTCGTCGTCGCCGCCGTCGTCGTCATCACCATCGACATCATCATCATCATCATCATCATCATCATCATCATCATCATCATCATCATCATCATCATCATCATCATCATCATCATCATCATCATTCATCATCACCATCACCATCACCATCACCATCACCATCACCATCACCATCACCATCACCATCACCATCACCATCACCATTCATCATCCATACCTGTTTTGGCTAAAGATCGCTCAGACGCACGCGCAGCGGCCGCCTTCAGTGTGCGCTCTGCTGTGCTGCTCGGCTTCTGGCCAGTCAACTTCCACATCGGGCGAGCAAGGCCGCGACGGAACAAGTTCTCGTAGTCCTCGACGTGGGCAAGACGACCCCGAAGCTCTCTTTGACACGGCGCCGACTCAACCATCTCAGACTGCCAACGTCGACGTCGTCCGCTCGCTGAGAGTACGTGTTCCGTGCCACCACCAGCATCGCCACCGCCTTCAACTCCCACGCCAACGAGAACGCGCAGTACATCGGGCGCCTCATCAAACATTACGACGTCAAGCTCCTGTCTCATCTCCAAGAGCTTCAGCTACGGCAGCACGCGGCTGCCAACGACTTCGCCTGCTACACCAGCCGCGCCGACAAGGGTCGCGACCAGATTCGTCATGACATGACGCAATCTCGGACCCTTCTGTCCTCAAAGTCCGCGTCCACCAATTCTGCGCCGAGGTCGCAGTCGGGCTTTCCTTCCTCGAGCTCCTGAAAGCCGCCAAAGTTTCTTCGCATGCTATCTCTGTTACTGGCCCGAAGGCTGACCTCAACTCAGTGGGGTCAACGCCGCCTCTGCCGCCACCAACGTCAGCGACGCGCAGAGGAAGGACCGCGAATTGTGCAAACTTCGCTGCGCACCTGCCGCTGGGCACGGAGCCGCTGACACTCACAGCAGCCGTAACAAGAACGCCAAGACCGAACGCAACGAAAATCTTCTTCGCCAACTGCGGAAGGCCATCACGTCTATTCACCCCGCTGCTCAAAACGATCTACGCCTCGCCGGGTCTGATGGTATCAGTCTCATCGGCTCTGATCCGATTGCTCGCGTCCACAGTGATAGACCTGGACATGTTCATTACAACTGGCGCTTTGCAATCGCCTCCGACCGCGGCATCGACAAGGATGCTGTTCGCTCCAGGCTCGCCGTGTTCGCCAAGGGATCGCTGAAGTCGAGCGAGTCTGACCGCCGGAGCCACGTCGTTGCCGTCCGAAGCGCGCACGCATTCTACCTCAACCTCTACATGCAGCTCACCACAAAGCACACGTACCTCAAGAACCCCGTGTTCAACAACTCAACCATTATCAATATTGAAGTGTCACGCATCACCGGCCCGAAGAAGCCCGAGTGTAACGTACTTGCGGAGAGAAGAGCTATCAGACCACCCGCTCAAGCCTCACCCTTCGCCTGGATCGACTACGCCTATCACACTTTCAACATCGCCGACTACGAATTCTGCAGATTCAAAGCAAATGCCATCTTCGACACAACCGACGCAAGGAACCTCCTACCCATTATGGACACCCTCCCCGCAATGTTCGGTTTCGCCACTTACTCTGTCACACTCGACTCCAGAATACCGACCGTTGGGCTGGCCACGCTGCTCCGACTCCAGGTCTACAACACTTCCGTTGCGACTAACGTTGACGCCGTCGACGCCATGGCCAACAGGCTAAAGGGCTGGGCCAGAGCTATGTCGAAGCTTGTTGTCTTCGAGGGAAGCTTAGACAACTTCTCAGAAGGCCGGAGGACTTCCGAACCTTCTGAGAAGGCCTTCTCCTTCTCACTTCCCCCCCTCGCTCGCCGCCGACTGTCTACCCCGCTTGAATGGAACACTGCGAAGCATGCTTCCAGGGCGAGCTCATCCAACCTATCTACGTACCGCTGATACCCTTTTGGAGCTGTGAGCGGCGGTTAGTCTCACTTCCGTCCGATCTCCGCAAGTACATCCTCGCTCGGAAGATATGTGAAATTGCCTGACCTCAAGGACTTCGGCGTGCACTCCCTCAGCCAGCGGCTGTGGACACCTCGCAGCGCGGAGAGGCCTATTCAAGTTCGAGGCAAACGCCATCGCCGACACCTACGACGCGAAGCGCACGACATGACCTACCTCAGCATCTTCAAGCCCACGGCCATCGGCGGCACATCTGGCGCGAAGAACGTAGCCGTGACCAACGCCATCCACCCTGGAGAAGCCGCGAAGCTAAAATTCCACCGCACCGCCTGAAACTGAAGAACCTGATCAAACTGCAGCCATCTACCCTCGTCATGAACACACCCGGCCATCTTTTCTTGCCAGGCAACTACCAGATCGAAGCCGACGACGACGCTCCCTTCTAAATTCCATCTCAGAGGCATCTACCAAATCATCCTGACCGCCAGCTGACACTCGCAATGGGCACCTATCGCTGAGACGGATCAAACTCTCGCTGTGCCAGCAGCATACCTGACGACCCCGAAGCTCTCTCTGTCGAAGAGCCGACTTCTACCGAACAGCCTGTCACCACCGACTTCGTTCGCTCATTGCCCGTTGCGGACGAGTCCCTCCCCGACGCCAGCATCGCCACCACCTTCAAGACACACACATACACCAACAATAATAATCAGCATAGCATCCACCCGCCCATGAACCTCGACAGCCTCGCCAACACACCCCTCAGCTTCGATGGGGTGACAAGCCACCGCATGCTCGCGTGCGGCTGCCTCGCCAACGACGGCTGGAAACACTACGCTGACTGCCTCACGCTCGGGAGCGCCGCTGTCTGCATCGACCTGGCCTTGCCGACTGGGCGCCGCCTCCCGCTGCGCAGGCCTCCTCGCCACCGACTGCGACGACTTCCGCGCCTCCTTCATCACCACCGTCGGCGACCAGGAGATCAAGCGACACCACTACATCCGAACATATGATCAAGAGAAATCTAGCTTAAGAAACCTGGCCCAGCTTTCTGCAAGTTCCGTAAGACGAACCTGGGCCAGATGTTCCTGCTAATGCTGGAGGGGCGAATGCTCTCAAGAGACTGGGCCACCTTTCGGACAAGTTGGTTGACAGACGCTGGCCCAGCTTCCCGGGAGAGGGTTTGATGATCAGATGCTCCACTGTACCGAAGCACAAGATTTCCTGTGAGATGGCCCTCGCCACTCGCTGCGCGCGCTGGCCGCTGGCCTCGCCCGGGCGGCCGTGTGCCTCGCCTGTTGGAACGGAGGCGTGGTGGAGAGGGCGATCTCCCTCCTCCTCCTCCTCCTCCTCCTCCTTGTCCTCCTCTTCCTCCTCCTCCTCCTCCTCCTTGTCCTCCTCCCGCCATTGCAGGCATCATCATGACCATCACGGTCACCATCATCATCATTATTAGCATCAGCATCTTCATGATCATCATCATAATATGAATCATAAGATAATAATAATAAGAATCATCATCATCATCATCAACATCATCATCATAATCATCAGTATCGTCATCAGTAGCAGCATCATCATCAGCTTTATCATCATCATCACCATCATCGTCATCATCGTCATGGTCATCACCATCAACATCATCAGCAGTATCATCATCATCATTATCATCATCAGTAGTATCATCACCTGTATCATCATCAGCATCATCATCATCACCATCATCAGCATCATCATCATCGTCATCATCATCATGGTCATTACCATGGTCATCATCATCATCATCATCATCATCATCATCATCATCATCATCATCATCATCATCGCCTGCATCAGTGCCAGTAGCAGTACCAGTACCAGCACACTCATCACCAACATTATCAGTATCAGCATCATCGGTATGATCAGCATCATCAGTACCATCAGCATCATTTGCATCATCATTAGCATCAGTATCAACATGAGTCGCATGAGCATCACCATGACTACCATCAAATCGCCATCACCATGACCATCACCATGACCATCATCGTCATCATCATCAACATGACCAACATCTTCATCACAACCATCATCATCACCATCATTATCATCACCATCATCATCAGTCATCACAATCACCATTACCGCCTCCATCACCATCATCATAATCCTCCTCCTCTCATCATCATCATGATCATGATCAACATCATCATCATCATCATCATCATCATCATGACCACCACCACCACCGTCATCATCATCATCATCATCATCATCATCATCATCATCGTCATCATCGGCACCATCGTCGCGCTGAGCTGCCGCGCTGAGCTGGCCTCCGGGAGCCTGTCGGGGCCAGGGAGCCTTCTTCGGACGCCCTGAGGCGCTCTTGCGCCAGCTGGGGGGGGGCCGCGTGGACCTCCAGAGGCCTGGGCCCCTTTCCCCGGCACCGCCCTGTCATCTCGCCCCGCGAGCCATGCTTTGACGGCCCAGCCCGCAGGGGCCCCGAGAGGCCGAAGTGGAGCAAAGGCAGCCCGTCGTGATGTGTCTCCCACGGCGCGAGGAGGCCAGGAAACGCGTCCATCCTCGAGGTGCCTCCTGCTCCTCCTGGGGTCCGGTGGGGGCCCCTGGAGGCCTTCCTCCCGCCTTTCTTTTCACTCGACACCACAGTCGCACCTCTGAGACGCCCGTTGCTCGAGGAAAGCGCCTCCCCCCCGTGCTGCGGTCCGCGACGAGAGGAGGATAGCAGGGGAGAAAGGCCGACCGCCGGCCGACGCCGCCGCGCCGCATGCACAAACGCGCACGGGCACGACACTCGCATCGCGGGGCCGAGGGTGCCTCCCAAGACACTCGCCGCTGTGACTTTTGCCGATCCGCGGCCCCAGAGCTCCCGACCCCTTCCTTGGGGGCGGTTTTGCGTCCCAGACCCACTTCTGGTAGCCCCTCCTCTTCCTCCTCCTCCTCCTCCTCCTCCTCCTCCTCCTCCTCCTCTTCATCACCATTGTCATCATCAACGTCATCAACATCAACATCAACATCAACATCAACATCATCATCATCATCATCATCATCATCATCATCATCATCATCATCATCATCATCATCATCATCATCATCATCATCATCATCATCATCATCATCATCATCATCATCACGGCCACCATCATCATCATCGGCACCATAGTCGTGCTGAGCTTACTCGACACCCAGGGCTCGAGAGCAGGCCCCAGGGGCCGAAGCAAGCCACCAACGCCGGGCTCGGCTCGGCTCGAGCTCCAGGTCGCGGGGCCGAGGGCGCCTCGGGGCCCAGAGAGCTCCGACGGCGCGGTTGCTGTGCACAGCGTGGGCCCCTGCAGGTCCTCCTCTTCCTCCTCCTCCTCCTAACTGATTATCCTCCTCCTCCTCCTCCCCCTCCTCCTCCTCCTCCTCCCCCTCTCCTCCTCCTCCTCCCCCTCCCTCTCCTCCTCCTCGTCTTCATCCTCCTCCTCCTCCTCCTCCTCCTCCTCCTCCTGTCCTCCTCCTTCTCCTCCTCCTCCTCCTCTTCCTTCTCCGCCGGGACTGGCTTGCATCCCGAGTCGTTTGTCAGTTTCGGGGGCGTCCAGGAGGGGGGCGTCCACGAGGGGGGGGTGCAAACCATGACCGGCGGCCACGTAATGAAATTAGAAGAGGCGCCATGTACTCTGGGGAGATCTCATGGCCCCCGCCACGATATCCCCCTCCCCTAGTCATGACCCCCCTCTTGGCCGCCCCCGGTGCCTGACGGCCCCGCGGCCCCGGCGAGGGCGCCGGCATCGCTCTCCAACCCGCCCGTTGGGGGGCCGCGGGCACCTCCCCAGGCGTCCGCCGCCGTGCAGTGGAGGCCCGTGCCAAGGAGCACACTGCTTACCTCCAGGATGCCCTGGGCTTCTAGAGGTCTCCCAGATGGGGTCGGAGTAGATGGGGTCGAAGGGTCGCGCCGCATCGCCGATGCATCGGCGATGCACTGGCGATGCATCGGCGATGCATTGGCACCGTCGGCGTGGCGAAAGTCGGGCTCCGCATCGAGCCGCATCGTCGATGCATCGGCGATGCGGCGCAATCCTCCGACCCTTTCTACTCCGACCCCATCTGGGAGGCCTAGAGTTTCTTGGGTTTCGATGGTTATGGCATGGAGAGCGTGACGTTCCCACGCCAAGAACCCATGGACGTCCTGGGGTCTCAGGGTTGGGCCTTTTGTGGAAGGTTGCTTGTGGACTGGCCTCCGCTGCAAGTCCTTCCGAGGTCCCCACCTCCTTCCCAGGGGGCGGTTATACGTCACGGACTCGTTTCTGCAGGCCCCGCGGGGCCCGAGAGAGCGGGCCCGGAAGCCAAAATCGAGGAGAGCCGCCCGGATGGCAAGATATCTAGATCGTCGGCAATGCGAGTTCTCAGGCCGCAGTTCGTGCCTCTGGCGGCCGCTCGGGACGATGCGGGCACCCAGAGCTCCCGACCCTCGCCATCGCTCGGACGTCCATTCCCTGTGTTTTTTCCCAACCATCCTGTGGTGTTGGGTCCTCGTTTTGAAGAGACGGTGCCCCGCGTCCTCCTCTCCTCTCCTCTCCTCTACTCCTCCCCCCTCCTCCCTCCTCCCGTCATCATCATCATCATCATCATCATCATCATCATCATCATCATCATCATCATCATCATCATCATCACCATCACCATCACCATCACCATCATCGTCGTCACCGTCATCGTCATCATCGTCGTCGTCATCATCGTCATCATCGTCATCATCACCATCATCGCCATCATCATCGCCGTTATCGCCACC